ATTCTTCAGACTCCTGAAGCAACTTCATACAAACTGTACTAAAGTTTTGGCATTCTTTTTATATCTGCCTTTATGTATGTGTAACATGCTCATAGAAGAAAAATTTAGTAGTATTTTATCAGCATAATACATTTTAATAGCACAGAACTTTTGGAAATTACAAGAAATGTTAAGACATTTCTAAGTTTTTGAGTTGTTTATTCAATTTTAATGAAAAACAGTCAAATCTGCAAAAAAGACAAACCTTCCCTCTTCTGAGTATCCAAGCTCATCTGCTTTATTAATTTCAGAATTTATGTTAAAAAAAAACAGAGGAAATGAAACTATTTTGTGTAGTTTTTAAGAGATTTTTTCTTATATAGTTAAAACTAAAAGGAGAAACTTCAAAAAATGTTTTACTCTCTACATTTTAAAAGAATTTCTGAAACTGTGCTTTTATGGAAGTTACGACATACCAATCATAATCTACACATTGTATTCCAGAGTGAAGCTGGCTGACTTATAACAAATCAACTTGAAAAACCAGGGATCACAGACCTCCACCAAAACAAAAAGGGAACACAGATTTTTAAATTTACTAAATGAAACTTCACAGATTGAAAATTATCTTCCTGCCGATTTTACAATGCAGGATCTCATCTCAGAACTTTACAAGTAAGTAGTTACCTTTGAGACAAAACATGAACAGGCCGCTCCCTCTAGGACAATTCTAACAAAGTTTTCTAAAGAGTCAAAGTTTAAAACTTGGGCTACGTTTCCAGCTAAGAGTGTTTTCTAGGAATTGAGAGTAAAGACCCGAACCTTTACTATGCTGGCACACACCCCTTAACAAACAGCAAAGAGGACAGTGCTCTAGAGACTCAAGTTAACCTGTAGACACTTCTAAAGGTTCGTCTGAGCAGTAATTTGCTACACTTTTCCTTTAAGTAAGCAGCGCTTCAGAATGTGTTTAACCGATCTGTCTTCCTTGAAGGCTTCGTAAATAAAATACACACAAAAAATTACAATATCAACGCCCATGTCCTTGAATGCACTCAAAGTTCAACATGTTTACAAGCACAACGGTGTGAAAACAAAGGCAAGAGCCCGTCAGAAGCACCATATAGTATTTTTGAAGGCAACTACAACTCCCATTCACGTCAAATGATACCCCCGTGGTAGTGGGAATGCAACCTCCACAGAATGGGCTGTTAGCTGTGAGCAAATAAGGACAGATTTATGAAGCAGAACGATCACGAGTGAACCAAACTTGGCTTTCTTTCTTGCTAAAACTTATTTGGTGGAAAGACTGAGGTTAAGAGGAGGAAAGAGAAGAGATTTGGTAGACGGGGAAGAAACCACCTTAATTCTCCTAACGAACAACAGCTGCCGGCCCCGGGCCCAACCTGGAAGGAGGAAAACGTCTTACTTACTGAGGCTCCCGTCGGGGCGCAGGCCGGAGCCCAGAGTCCGCCCGGATCCGTCTCGGGCGCCGGCTGATATCGGCAGCGGCCGCCGCGCGCCGCCTCCTCCTCCCGGGCCAATCCCCGGAGAGGCCGCCGCCGCGCCCGCCCCGCCCCGCGGGCCAGCCGAGCCGGGTTCCCACCACGCGGCGCCCCTTCCCAGCCACACCCCTGGCCCCCACCCCGCCCCGCCAGTCAGCTCCCACCCAGTAATTACTCTAATTAGAAGTTTTAGTCTCAGCAGTCAAACAATGTACGAACCAGTCCCAACACAGCCTGCAATTCAAATGGCTTTGAGAACAAAGGCAATCATAGCTGTGGCAATTTTTCTTCTAATTTATAGAATGTGAAGACTTTCTCTCATTGCTCACTGTACTTAAAAAAAAAAAAAAAAAAGCTTAGCCTCTAGTGTACATGCCACTTCACAAGGATATTAGCGTGTCTACGGAAAAACACCAGACCATGCCCTCCCGTTACAACAAAGACAAAAAAAAAAAAGAAAAAAAATACCATTTCCAAAAAATGAATATTGAACTTGTGAGTTTAGTCCCTCCTGCAGAAGAACATTCACAAATTTCCTGGATCACCTGGTGGACACGTGAAAGATGTACAAAGATACGGGAAGGCTGTTTTCTTTCCAGTTCACAGATTATGTGAATAAAAGGGAAAACTACCCAGGGCATCTTTCGAGTAAACAATCTGCATAACTCTTAATTAATCCTGGTGGAACTGATTAGGCCTATCTTCCCCAGAAATTGATAGTCCATTCACAGTTCTTAGTATTAATCTCTTCAGTCCAGTTTGAGATGTACAGGGGATATTTCAGGATCAGGAAAATTATAACCATAAAACATGTGCTTAGAAAAATTAAAAATAAACAAAAACACCCCAGAAAAGCCTTTCTCTACTTCCTTTTCCAGTTCTAATCTTTAAAGCAATCTGCATCCATTTTAGAATTACTGAATAATCTAGAAATTAAGTTAATGTGAAAGATTACAGAAAAATAATAAAAACTGCCTCAAAACATTGCATAAAATAGGTTGTATGACCCATGTCTTCCCCTTTAAATACATATATTTCAAAAAACATTTTCATTTTTTCAAAATTTCAGGTAGCTATGGTTTTCAGTCTCACTCCATGCATTTACTAGATATGTTCTAAAATCTCTCCATTTTTAAATGAAGAAATCTTAATTGCCACACTATGGAAAATTAATTTAGTACTTTATTTTGTTACAAAATGCTGTGTTTGTTTAGCAGCTAAATTTGCATCTCTAAATATTAATGGCAGGTATGTGAACACAACCCTGTAAAGTTTCACTGCAGTAACCACCTTGAAAGTTAATTTCTTTTAATAACAAAAGCAACTAATTTCAAGTTAAAACAAGCAGAAAATTAAAAACAAAACCAAATGCAAACAAAGAAACAAGACCAAATGCAAACACTTTCAAACGCTAATGTGTCTATCTCACCTAAAACTTTAAAGCCCTGAAAGTAACAGGACATTCCTAAATACTTAAAACCAAGAAAACCAGGTGCCTGGCAAGTAAAAACTTTAAAAAGGATTACCAAATACTTGTGCAAATGATATAAACACAACAGCAACTGAGGACACAAGGAGAAAGCTCCTTCAGGAAAGAGCTTATATTCTCCCAAATTTATCTTTTCCAAAATTCCCCACCAAGTCAAGATCTAAATCTTTATATGCTTTAAAAGTTTTCTTAGCTAAGTCTGCATCTTGTGTGCAACGCAGGACACCGCTTTTTAAATGTTAGGAACATTAGTAAGTTTGAGGGATATTTTCAAATGTATCACAATATTAAAATTTGTCAATTTTTTTAAATGAATTTTTTTCAGTTTGGAAAATGCACGATAGCCACCTTCAGATAATTAACAAATATTCTTCAGTAAAACAAGAATAAAAAAAAGTTACAAAATATACCAAAATGTTCTTGCAAAAGTAAACATCTAACAGGCAAGCACCATGATGCATTTTTTTTTTTCAGAATTTACCTTTAAAAGGAAAAAGCAGTAGCTGATTAAGCTGGTCTGAATTCTGCTTTAAGTTCAAAAGGTAGAGAGCAAGAGATAAGATAAAAATCACATACCACATACTGTCCTCAGCGTATCTCCACCTGAGTTCTCACCATCATCAGATTTCAGTTCTCACTGATTTCAATACTATTTGTTCAAGCTCTTTTAATAAATACCATTTCCCCCTTTGCAAGGCAAATCAATAGCCCTATCCATGAAATTATTTTTTGAAAGAAACCCTATCTGGGAAACGTGTGTCCCCCCCCCCCCCCCGCTTCCTAAGCAAAGCACAGTCGTTTGCCGGCCAACACTGCTGGGGTCACCTGTGCCTCGCACCCGCCTCCCAATGCCCTTCACCTCGGAGGTGGGTGACTCTTTTCCAAGCAAGTCCCCAAATGCCACTACCGACTCGGCATGGCCGGCTGACCGGCTGGACTTGCCCTAAATCCCTGCACTGCCAGCTCCCCGCTGCTCTCAACTAACTTTAATTACAGGGACTGACATCTGTCCTCAGAGCATGTTCCTCTCGCAAAGCAGGGAATGACACAAATTACAAGCATGAGGACAATGGATTATTAATGAAAGAAACTAAAATCGAAGTATCCTGGTCTCAATGGAGCTGCGGCTGTGGTGCAGCAACCGTGGAAGTCTCTCGGTTCAAGAGCCGAGGTCCCGGTGAGTGCGCGGGATCCCTCACTAGAGACACAAGCCCTGAGTTCTCCGCCAGAGGACAGAACCACCAGCGACCACCTGGAAGGAGCAGCATCCTCCGCAGGGAAGAAACGGTGTATGTTTGGGGGCGGGGGAGGGCGGTTCAGGGAACTCTTGTGACTCCAGCCCCAAAGCCCGGCTCCAGGAACGGTTTAACCACGCAAGGGGTTCTTCCTTCCACTCTGGGCACTCACCCGACACTGGCTGCGGGGACCCGGCTGAAGCCCGCCCCCCGTGACACTGTCCAGGGCGGCCTCGTGGCCTGAGCATCAGCCCACCGCGCGCGGAAGGAACTGCCAGGGCGAGACAGGGGCGGGGCGGGGCAGGGGGCGAGGCGGGGGCGTGGCAGGGGAGGGGGCGGGGCAACCGCGGAGGGGCATCCTGGCCCTATCCCGCCCCCCGCCCCCAGAGCTGCGGCCCGTGTGCCGGCCCTGCCTGACGCAGGCAATGCAACAGTCCCTGATTAACCGTCCTTTCCTCCGAACGCCTGAGCAGCGGGCACTGGGAGCACCTCTCCACGAGTCACCTACAACCCGGTCTAAGCCCGCCGGGCTACAAGTGACCTTGGGTGCAAGTTCTGCGACTTTTCTTCTCTCATCCATTGAAAACTCCACCCCGCTCTCAAGGGTGTCAGGAAAGGGTCAGGAAATCAGGAAACTACACCCCTGGCGCCCTCTCCCCGTCTTTATAAAGACCCTCTCCACTGGCTCCGGGGCGTTAATCTACAAGGGCCCATCGTCCTCCCCAAAGCTCCTTAAAAGACCAACTGTGCAGACAAGTAGCAAACGGTGAAGAATGCAGCCAGTGACCCTACCAAATTAACCAGCCAACGTAAACCAGTTGCCCAAGAAGCTCCTCTCTCCTCCCCGGAGATTTCCAGGGTCTCCCCCAACCCCTTCATCAGACCTGCACTGCTGTAAGAACTTGGATTATTACACCCACTTTGCCCACCACAGCCAGGCTGGAGGAGTTTCACTAATTTGCACAACTCTGAGCCCCGACTTCCCATCCCTCTGTCCTCTGACTTAAACAATGACATGTGTGACAGAATGTGTCTTGTTCAATATGCTCATTTCCAGTTCCAATCCCAATAGGAACCGATATCCCCCCTGCCTGGAATTCTCTCGCACTCCCTCACTATGTGAATCACTTTTCAAGGGCTACCTTTTTCAAGAACCCTCCCAGAAACAATTTGTGCTTTTTGGGTTTTGTCCTGATTCATTCCCATGTAGGCAGTTCTATTAGGCCACATAACACAATCATTAGAGTGCTGCTGCACAGATGCTCACATTTCTGAGCTCCTTGCAGGCCTGGGGTGTCTTCTTCCAATCTCCCCACCCCCCCAGGACCCACCACAGTCAATTCTGAATTAATATGACCTGTCTTGTAGCAAGATCAAAGTTTCAATCTTGAGCCCATTAACACCAATTTTTAGCAACTAAATGAAGAAAATTTGTTAGCATCAGTTCAACCTTAGAAGAAAAACTTTAAGATAATAACTTAAAAAAAAAAATCTTACGCCATTAATTTCACAGGAAAAGAAAGCCTTTACAGGTAAATGACATATCTATTTTCAGGGACATTTGCTACTAGGAAGCTGTTGATAGATTAACCAGAGCAGCTCTTGCTTCATGCAAATGCAGATGGCGCTTTTCTCCCAGGGAACTTCACACATTATCTCAGTTGACTTTGCCTTGGCCTTGGGGTGGGAGTGAGGGGGAGAAAGAAACTTCCCAAAATTTTAGAAGAGATGATGGAAAAGGTCTCCTGCATCACAGGCACATTCTTTACCTTTGAGCCACCAAGGGGGCCCTAGCCACTAAACGAAGTGGTTAAAACTACATAAAATTTTAACAGATGTGCACACTAAACAGGATGTTTATAGTGTTAAAAATAGAGTATCATTTTTATTGGAGATTTTCCTTAGAAGCTATGTTAATAAAAACAAATTATAGCACAAAAACGTTCACAAATCATTAAGTTAATGAAACTATAATACTTGGATCATTCTTTTGAATAGAGAAATGCCAATTTCCCCCAATCTAAAATTATAAATTATTTGGATGTCACACTTAAAATTTCTTTTTATATTCAGCAGTGATATTGGATATTATAGTAAAATAAAACCCGACTTAAGCAAAATACATAATTTTTTCCATTGTGTTATAGCATATATGTGTGTGTACAAGCATATGAAAGTGTTAAGTCATTCAGTCTGACTCTTTGCAACCCCCAGGACTGTAGCCTGCCAGGCCCCTCTGTCCATGAGAATTCACCTGCAAGAATACCGGAGGGGGTAGCCATTCCCTCTCCTAGGAGATCTTCCTGACCCTGGGATCAAGCCCAGGTCTCCTGCACTGGCAGGCAGATTCTTTATCGTCTGAGCCACCAGGGAAGTGTGTGTGTGCGTGTCTGTGTGTGTGAGAAGCGTGTGTGTGCGTGTCTGTGTGTGAGAAGCGTGTGTGTGTCTGTGTGAGAAGCGTGTGTGTGCGTGTGTGTGTGTGAGAAGCGTGTGTGTGTGTCTGTGTGTGAGAAGCGTGTGTGTGTGTCTGTGTGTGTGAGAAGCATGTGTGTGTCTCTGTATGTGTATTTTTCCGGATAGCAGTTATACAAAACTGTAAAAGAAGCTTTAAGCCACTTCTATCACACCCTGTGTGTCTTCTATGCAACCTTCTGAGCCCCCAGTTCACTTACCCTTTACATTATCAACATTCTCTGGTTTAGGAAGCAGGACACTGTGGGTGCACGTGTGTGTGTACACACGCTCAGCTGTGTCCTACTCTTCTGTGATCCTATGGACTATGGTCAGCCAGGCTCCTCTGTCAATGCGTTTCTCCAGGCAAGAACACTGGAGCAGGCTGCCATTTCCTTCTCCAGGGGATATCCCTTCCTGACCCAGGGATCGAATTCACGTCTTCCGTGTTGGCAGGCGGAGTCTTTACCACTAAGCCACCTGGGAAGCCAATCAGGATAGCAGCCATGTCCGAATCCCTAGGACCCGTGACTGTATTAGGTTACATGGCAAAGGGAAATTAACATTGTTAATCAATTGACCTACAGATAGAGAATGATCCTGGATGGTCCAGGAGGGCCCAATACTATCACAAGGTCCCTGTATGTGAGGAAGGGAGGGAGGAAAGAGACAATAAGAGAGATGGCAGCATGAAAAGGACTCAGCCTAACCTTGCTAGTTTTGAATGTGGAGGAATGCAGGCACCTCAAAACGCTGAAAAGTCAAGGAAATGAATTTTTTCCTAGCGCCTCCAGAAAGAAACAAAGGCCTGATAACAGCCTGATGCTAACCGAGTGAAACTGATTTGGATGTCTGACCTCCAGATACTGTAAGACAATAAATCTGTGTTGTTCTAAGTCACTGGATTTGTGGTAATTTGTTATAGCAGAAATAGAAAACTAATACATCTGGGTTCCAAGTTCTTCTCATAATCAACCTCACTGCTTTTTAATGTTTGGCTCAACATGTGAAGAAAATGAAAGCAATCTTTAAAATCTCTCAGCTATACCTGAACTCTAATCTTCTAAAGGAGAAGATTTCTTCCAAGTTCCTCCTCTCACCTCTGCGCAAGTACACATCTTTATGGGGGGATTTCAGGCTCATTTTTAGTGGCTGTAAAGTTTGTGGGGCCACTGGGGTGGGATGAGAAAGAAGAAAGCTGGATAGGATGCCTGAAAGCCCTTTTGGGCCTGGTTCCTAACTGCCTGGCTGCTTTTATAGTGCCACGGAGGCCAGGGCAGAGCATGTCAATGAAACAAAGGATAAACATGAAACAAAGCGCCATAAGCAACCACGTCTTGATCAAATCTAGGAGCGATTCAAGTTAATAAGTAACATAACCCCACCACCTTTTTCATGGCTTTAATTATTATAGCCAGTAAAAAATATTCAGGCCATCTCTGTTTAGAGATGTTTTATTTACCCCTAAAGGCTAAAGTCTTCATTAAATGCAGAAGAGTTGTATTCAATTCAACACATATGGTGAGATCACAGGCCAGTTTACTCTAATTTTTAAAGTGTCATTCCCCCTTCCCCCAAACACAGACACACAAACACTATACACATGGACTCTGAATACACCAAACAGCATTTACAATCTGGCTATATCAGATTTTACATTATTACATAACTGGTTTAAAAGTCAGTCTTATTTATGAATAGTTTTCCCTTATTTTCTGTTTCTGTAGAATGAAAGAATCTTTTCACGAGGCCATTTCCTACACTGTTTAGGGGGCATGTTACTGTTGCTAACAGGGTCTTCCTTTGCCCTTAAGTGTTTCCTTCACATAGGTTAAACCTGGTTAAGGTCCTGAATGGCAGAGGACCTTTTGGTTTGAGGAGCTTGACAAAGTGTGTAAGTAGCAAAAGGAAAGGGAAAGAGGCTGGAACAACCCACACATTCTCAAGATCAACACCGGTATTTTTTCCATTGTGTAGAAACTGTCAGGGAACAGCCTGATTAGGATGTTTTCCAAAGTTCACACTGTTACCTTTTCCAAAGGAACACCATTAAACAGCCTTATCTTTCCAGGTAAATTCACTGAGCAATTAAGTACAATTCCTTACTATGTCTTACATTAGAAGAGCCATTTTCCCCAATCATTCCTCACCCGGATGTGTTTTGTATCTTTCACTCTCACCTGGCATTACTGCCTATGGAAATGAAATGGCATGAGAGAAGATGGGATCATTCAAAATTAAGTTACCACACCCTTTCAAGAGGAGGCTGAGCTGAGGGTGGTTCTGTGGTGCACAGACGGCCCCACCTCCACCAACATGCAAGCGGCAGAGGACAAGAAAGTCTGCAGCACCAACAGGCGTCTCTTGGAGCATGTGGTCAGAGACCAGTGAAGGAGACGGGTGGGAGGAATACACCTCTGCTCTCCCCTTTAATCTCAGGAATGGAGATGGGATCTGGGGCAGGACTGGAAAATGTGGTGCTTCAGGCAATGGGAAGTAACCCCAGATGAAACACTGCTGGGCCTGCGCTTCTGACCTTTTTCTCCTTTACAAAAAGGTGCTTATCATGTGGCTTACAATGGTCTAAGGCTAGAAGCTAAACTTGACTTTGTATTTGATTGCCAATTTTAGTGGCAGAATTGCACATCATGATATACAGCCCTGTTTGGTCTCTAGTTCTCGGAAAACTATTTCTGGCAGCTATATTCTAAAGGGGGCGAAATAAAATGCAGACTAAAGAGGCTGGGCATTAAATTTTTACAAAGGACAAGAAAGTAATGGCCGTTTGATTTCATACACTCCTATCAATGTAGATGCAAGCCTGTAGGAAGAGGCTTGGGGAAGCAGAGCCTGCTGCTGAAGCTCTCAGTTCAGTCGCCTGACACTGTGCTCCTCGATCCCCTACTGAAGTCCCATACTCTCCTTCTAGTTCCTCTTACATGCCCCTAATGCTATTCTTATTATAATCTCAGAATTAAATTAAAATAGCATCTTTAACATGCTTTAGTTCTGTGGGAAAAGGAAATTATCAATCATGCAGTAACTATAAAAAAATTAACATCCTGAAAACTGTTTTTACAAAATCTGAATTAAAAAATGTCAACAATCTTATTTAATCTGCCATCACAAATCATTGCTCTTGACAATAAATAATGTCTGTGGCTATTTAAAAGATTTCTTAAAACCAGTAACACAAGAAATGAATGAGTATATAAATGTTTATATATATATAAACAAGCATGATGCCCATAGCAGGGACAAACAAATTAGCAAACTCATAAGTTGTTTCTATTTGTACAGCTTGCCCTGAAGCTTTTGAGAGAAGTATTTCTTATGTAAAATGCTGTGTTTTGCTGGTAAGAGAGGACTTGCTTAAAACTGTGGTCTCATTTTTGGTGAAGCCATGAAAAATTAGCATTGAAGATAACCATGTAAAAGTACATGGACTTGTTTCTATTAGCAGCACAGTATATTGACTTGTTATTCATAAAAGTATCATTCTTAAACCTGCCAAGGTAATTACAGTCACTTAATTTTTGTGCTATGAAAGTGAAGAACAACTTGTGACCACCTCCTTTGAGCACAGGAATAAAGGTAAAGAAGGCAGGATGTCTGGCTTCCCCATTACAGGAGAGTTTCAAGCCCAGAGGCACTGAATCACTTGCCTCCAGGTACAGAGGTTAGAACTCCGGTGCCGGCTCGTCCCCAGAGCTCTGAACACTGCTATTACTAAACGGAACAAATCCAATTTTTAAAATGTTATCTCAAAGGGTTTATTTTTTTTATCCCCACAGTATTATTTTTATTTGGACCTGTCTCAACTGATCCGCAACGTTCAAAATGCAGACTCCAGAAGCATATAAAGTGGCCTGCCTGATCCCCTCCTATCCCTCCCTGCCACCACCTATTAAATGTTTAAAGGCACTGAACACATACCCACAGGTGTTCCATTTGACTGACTTCCGTCCACCCAGTG